CCGAATGATATCCGTCTACTGAACGATACTATACGGATACTATAAGACAATGAAGTGCGTCACTGACGTAATATTTTAATAATCTGGTTAATATGGATTATATTAAGAGACGGCAATCCTGATACAACCTACACCTACAATGTGTAAATATTATATCGAGTTAGTACCGGATATATATCTGACAAGATATAACAGAGGCGAGGAGCGGTTGGAATCTACTAACAGTAACAGTGTCGACAGATAAATAAGAAAACATCCCTGCTCACACTATCCGCCGTTTTTGACGACTACATTGATGTTTCAGTCTGAATAAACGGAGGTTGGACACGGTACTAACCATGTGACTTCAAAACCAACCAATTCTAAGTCAGCGTCTTATACAAATCCCTGTTATCGCGATAAATTTTGACAAATAAACAAACAAATTACGAAAACATAATTTACATAGATCCCTGCAGAATATACCTATGCACACCTGTATACCATTACACATCTAACATGACTAAGATTGATAGCGGTCATCATTGTTAATCATTGCCTTATCAAGTGTTGTGGTTGTTGGTAAATATCATACACATTCCTTAAGCCTCCTACGATAAGGAATTATTCCTGCTCTTTATAACTTGATCTCATACATTACATGCCTACCTGACAAACGTTGTCATGTTTCAGGTTACTTTGTACGACCCCCATGATGTTTCATAATGCGGGAACGACATATTTTGACAACAGATGAACGCTCTCCTAACTCCAGGATAAACTTTCCCCTGCAAATTCACACTGTTTCAACCACATCTGAAGACATATGCACTGTTATGATATTGAAATTGCATGCTGTGTCACCAATACAATCTTTTGTTGTTAATGTGTGCCTTGTCAAGTCCATTATCTTGACTGATGTTATGTTTTGCTAAGGACAAATGTGGGCAATCACGTGACCTCTAATGAAATCTACACATCGACAGATAATTTTTAGATAAACCGACAAATCTCTTTCTAATATATAATTATGCCTTTTCCATTTACTAGACATGATTCAGTTAGAGTTACACGTCAAATGCACTCGTTGACTCATTGGTTTAATGCAGCTCTTTTTGAAGATATCTCCAGGATGTCAAAAATGATCTTCAGAAAACATCCGCTTTTTTTTTAATTTTTTGTGCCTGTGGCAAAAAACTGAAATAAAAAAGTCATGAAGCACCGACAAAGAGATAAATGCAACGGACATCAGTTCCAAGATTTTCCGGTTATTACACATTGTCTTTATTTTTTTTTCGTCCGGAAGTAGACGTCCAGTGGTGAAACCGGAAGTGTATCCTTGAAGCAAAGAAAATTGTGTTTTAACCCAAGCATGTTTATGTAGACAAAAACTAACATACATTCTGAGTGAAAAAATCTATCACATAAATTATGATACTAGCACAAAGGAAACATCGTCCAGAGATTATCTTACTATGGCGTCTCAAGCACGTCACACTCCATCGGCCTTCATCGGTTATTTTCGGAAGGATGAAATATAACCGGAAAATCTTGGAACTGATGTCCGTTGCATTTATCTCTTTGTCGGTGCTTCATGACTTTTTTATTTCAGTTTTTGCCACAGGCACAAAAAGGAAAAATGCGGATGTTTTCTGTAAATAGAAAAGGACGGCTTTCCTTTTTATTGACGGCAATTGTGGTTTTCTCTTCACTCTGAATTCGTTCGGTGTCCTGAAAGATGAACGTTATACACAACCAAACAGAAAGCATGCCATGGCTATTACGTAGCGTTATATGTCGTTAGCCGTGGTAAGGAATGACGTGTGATGTCTTCCGAGGTTGGTGACGTTTCACGTAAGGCAATACATTGAGACAAACGTCAGTGATAAATGATTCGTTCTAATCTGTAACATATCATATGAAAAGATATTCTCAAAGTTTCCTGTTTTTACAAATGTTTTAGTTTGTCCCATATCCGATATAACCTTACCCGAACCTAGCCATGCTAAAGTTGTGCCGGAATAATTGTGAAACCCGTTCAGTTCTGAATACTGAAACCAGTCCTAAAATGAATCGTGTATCGTAACGGAATAAGCTACGATACTTAAATAAAATAAAGGGATTTGTCGCTGTATTAAAAAGATTATCCCTCGGGGTGCAGACTTTTCTGCTATTTTCCGAGAACTGAATCATTACAGATGGCGTGATTCCACCTTGGATGACATATGCCCTGGCACACCGTGATAACGGAACCATATCCGTGTAAAGGTCCATTTTTCACAAACAACATCTCATTAACCATGCCAGTTTACTCCATTAACATCAATCTTCTCTTTAGGTTCTGACTGGGTGTGAAATTCTCAATTTGTTCTACAATATCTATGTCTATGACGTCTCAACTTTGGTTTGGTGTCGTGGTTATGAAATTTACTTTGTGTTATTAATGGTACGTTCACCCATTTTCGAAAAACCAGATTTTAACAAAAGCTGCATGCGTATTTCTTTGAAATACGACACGGCATAGACTCAAACAGAACTAATTTTATTAACGGACAAAATGTTAATTTTACTATGTGGCAGTTGTCACGTTAACCTGTCAACCTTAGACAGGCAATCATATAGACTGTGTAGGTAAAGGTCAGCATGATCAAAGGAGGTGTTGATTGACATGGTATAAACTTGATTAGCTGACACGTGTTTCCTGTGTGACGCTGTCACGACTTCCGGTATCACACAGGTAGTACTATTGTAATATATGATGAGTTAGCTATATCCTACCAGTGGTCATATGTCCATGTAAAGAGAAAGGTTATACGTTTACGACAGTATTTGATTGCTGTTCTATTTCTTTGCTTTGACATTGTATGTTGTCAATGTTAACGTTGAATGCCCAATATTTTATTTTGTTATAAAGTACATCACTTTGTACATAAACAATAGCCTATTGTTGAAACCAGCATTTAACATCTGTGTATATGCATGTATAACATTTCCAAAATATCGTGCTGTCAAAATCCTTTGACGGTACACATACACAAAATAGGTGATAAAAGAATAAGTTTAATGTGTTGATGGCAAGCCTAAGTTTAAAAATATAAACACGTTGATTCAAAATATAATTATGTTATGATTCTCTGTTCACCAATTAGTCTCCAGACGGTATGACGTATTGTGGCTAATACAACATATCGTATGTATAGCATGCTTCATGGTGCTTTATAAACCGATATGACAAGTAAAATATACCAACAAATCTAAATGGTAGACGAATTAATATAAGTACTTATGTACTTGTTTTTGAATCCTCTTTGTTGATTTTGTATTATTTTGTCACTGCCATATATTGAATAAAATTACTGTTTAAACTAAATGTGAGTATCCATTAACGATAAAAAAGTCATAATTAAACCAGGCTTTTAATATACAGTATATTCTTTAAGGTATTGAATGCTGATACATCCATTAAAAGTGTTTATAATAGTCTGTTATTGCACACGTCCTCCGTTGCATATAAGGCGCTTGATTTAATGGTTTTTTTCACTTTCCAAACTAAATTCATGTATAAAAACTACACGACTTTGTAATCACATCTTCTCTGGCTGTTTGATAACATCATAACGCAGTATGTGGCTTGGAGTAACGTTTTTCCTTTATTTTATTTGTTTATTTATTTCCAATTCAACAACCCCAAGGGTCCACTTACAGAATGGATAACAACATTTCAACCCAAGTATAATATACCACAGTCAGTTATGCATGTACCACAGACTAAAAGATACTCATACGTAAAACAAAAGGAATTAGTGATAGCAAATACTCTTTAACCGTATTCTTCACGCTGGTACTTATTCCTTACACCAAGTTATGTGTACCGTTCCACGTGCGGTCAGTTTCCTTTAGCCCGTGTTTGTTGACCGTTCATTATATACAAACTGATGACCTGTAATAACATAACTTGCACGTCCTACCTGACATATTGGCGTCCGACGCTTGAATTGATACGATACATCATAAACATATGTGTATTTGTCAATAGATATTGTAAGTGACAATATGATATACACAGAGTATGTATATCAGGATTGGGTGGGATGTGGTACTGTCAACAGGTACTGTCGCGATCAATTTACCCGGCCGTCTGTAGACAGGTCGTGTCGTGATCAATTTACCCGGCCGTTTGTAGACAGGTCGTGTCGTGATCAATTTACCCGGCCATCTGTAGACAGGTCGTGTCGTGATCAATTTACCCGGCCGTCTGTAGACAATAAATGTAAGATAGACGTGTGAATTTCATATTGGATACAAATATTTCAGCTCTTTTTAACAATCGAATATGGAACGGAAAATATCACAAATAGTTATGATCAAGTCAGCAATGTCGGGCAATCAAATCATTCCTCCTCGTGATGAAAAAATGTACCTGCTTAAATATCAGCATATGGAAGATATTTGCTTGAAAGGACTCTTTCATCGCATGCAAATAATCAGGAAAAAACCCCGATTTCTCACTCTCATTAAAACTAATTAGTGTCTGTGTGTAAGTTTACCTGGAATCCAATAAAACTAGCGATGACTAACACACTGTGTCAGTAGTGAAGTACATATTTTAACAAGTGAACATGCATTTAAGTTGTAATGGGTTTTACCAAGGTATTTTATGTCAAAACGTGATTGCCAGTCGTGCAGTGACCAACTTTGTGTGTTCGTTATTTTTTGTATAAGGAAGATTTTCTATGGGCCTCGTATATTATTATGTTATGACGAGGGAACTCGTCCCTGTACAGTATGTGTGGGTAGAACAGTTACAGGGTCTAGCCGTGAGATACCTCACTAGACGTTACGTATGTCCTTAGCATACCTTGTTCTTATATATATTACTCCCCTTCTTTCAGTAACATTTCTAAGTATACCTTCCAACCGGAAAGGACAATTGCTTTTATATGTTTTCAGTACTGGCACTCACTTTGAACTTGAATTATGTAACGTGTTTTTTTATGTGTGTTTTCACTGTGCGTTTTCAGAGCCGCCAGTGGTTTTGGTCTCCGTCCTACAAAAATCCATGTTGGCGTGGGGAAAAGGGATTGCTAGGTTGTGTCCCTTACTTCTTCGTGCTGGGGTTCCCAAAATGTGGCACCACCGATCTCTTCAACAGGATCAAACTACATCCGGGTTACGTACCTCCATTGTTCAAAGAAATCCATTGGATAACGAGGTATCGTTTCTTCCCGCTAGGGAGAAATGCGAAGGGGAAGCGGATAAGTAAGTATATTCATACGCTTTGCCATTTTTACCGTTAAAAATTAAAACAAAAAACAAACAAAAAGAACTAGACAGAAACAACACAAGTTATGAAGATGTAATAGTTATCTACAGTTTATATCCATAATGAGTGAAAATATTTCCGCGAGAATACTTTTGCATCAAAATAAAATGAACATGGTTGATAATCTGTGAAAATTCCTTTCATTTTTTTTTAATATACAAAAATTGATTTGATTACTTGATGATTATATCTCAATAACAAGTTCGGCATGTTTGCCTTGTTTTGATGATTTAGTAATGTAGTTACTATAAATTTACAATTTCGTTAAAAATATTGGCTAAATGGTATTTTACGTCTTGTTAAGTATTCTGCCAGTGTTTCTAATAGCATTGCATCATTTACTTCAAAAAGAATAATTGGTATGCATATTAATGTTAGTTTAACACGTAATAAAAAAAATTTGGACAGTTCAGCACGTGCGTGATCTACATAAGGGATTCCGGATGTACCTCAGAGTGTTTTCTCCTTTGACGGAAATCTTAAAATGGTGCTACGATCCATATAACTCTAACACCACCACCACCACCACTGTCGTCACTTCCGGTGCAAGTCCATATATGTCCTGTGAAGACAGAATTACAGGTAACGCAATCACAAATGGTATTGTCCAAGGTATTTCATTTAACAAACTATAAAGATACAGGTAATGCTCTGCATACCAGGAAGGATATTTAACCTAACGAGGTCTGTCGTAACTTTAATAGACATAAGTAGTGGCATATATAACATACATAATAACTCATAAGAATTGGTATATATAATATACATAAGTTGTGTTATATATAATATACATATTAACTCATAAGTAGTGGTATATATAATATAGGTAAGTAGTGTTATATATAATACACATAAGTAGTGGTATATTTAATATACATAAGTAGTGTTATATATAATATATATAAGTAGTGTTATATGTAATGTACATAAGTAGTGGTATATATAATAAACATACTAACTCATAAGTAGTGTTATATATCATACACATAAGTAGTGTTATATATAATATATATAAGTAGTGTTATATGTAATGTACATAAGTAGTGGTATATATAATATACATAAGTAGTGGTATGTATGATATACATAAGTAGTGTTATATATAATATACATAAGTAGTGTTATATATAATATACATAAGTAGTGGTATATAAGAAATAGGTAATGTGGTATACATAATATACATAAGTAGTGTTATATATCATACACATAAGTAGTGTTATATATAATATACATAAGTAGTGGTATATATAATATACATAAGTAGTGGTATATATAATACACATAAGAAGTGTTATATATAATATACATAAGTAGTGGTATAAGTGTAATATATAATATACATAAGTAGTGGTATATATAATATACATAAGTAGTGGTATATATAATATACATAAGTAGTGTTATATATAATATACATAAGTAGTGGTATATATAATATACATAAGTAGTGGTATATTTAATACACATAAGAAGTGTTATATATAATATACATAAGTAGTGGTATAAGTGTAATATATAATATACATAAGTAGTGGTATATATAATATACATAAGTAGTGGTATGTATAATATACATAAGTAGTGTTATATATCATACACATAAGTAGTGGTATATATAATATACATAAGTAGTGGTATAGATAATATACATAAGTAGTGTGATATATAATACACATAAGTAGTGGTATATATAATATACATAACCAGTGTTATATATAATATACATAAGTAGTGGCATATATCATTCACATAAGTAGTGTTATGTATAATATACATAAGTAGTGGTATATATGATATTCATAAGTAGTGTTGTATATAAAATACATAAGCAGTGTTATATATAATATACATAAGTAGTGGTATATATAATATACATAAATAGTGGTATATATAATATACATAAGTAGTGTTATATATAAAATACATAAGCAGTAGTATATATGATATTCATAAGTAGTGTTATATATAATATACATAAGTAGTGTGATATATAATACACATAAGTAGTGGTATATATAATATACATGAGTAGTGGTATACATAATATACATAAGTAGTGGTATATATAATATAAATAAGTACTCTTATATATCATACACATAAGTAATGGTATATATAAAATACATAAGTAGTGGTATATATAATATACATAAGCTGTGTTATATATAATATACATAAGTAGTGTGATATATAATACACATAAGTAGTGGTATATATAATATACATAACCAGTGTTATATATAATATACATAAGTAGTGGTATAGATAATATACCACTACTTATGTATATTATACATAACACTAGTTATGTGAATGATATATACCACTACTTATGTATATTATATATACTACTACTTATGTATATTATATCTACCACTACTTATGTATATTATATATACTACTACTTATGTATATTATATCTACCACTACTTATGTATATTATATATACTACTACTTATGTATATTATATCTACCACTACTTATGTATATTATATATACTACTACTTATGTATATTATATCTACCACTACTTATGTATATTATATATACCACTACTTCTGTATATTATATATACCACTACTTATGTATTTTATATATACCACTACTTATGTATTTTATATATACCACTACTTATGTATTTTATCTATCCCACTACTTATGTATTTTATATATACCATTACTTATGTGTATGATATATAACAGTACTTATGTATATTATATATACCACTACTTCTGTATATTATATATACCACTACTTATGTATATTATACATACCAGTACTTATGTATATTATATATACCACTACTTATGAGTATGATATATAACACTACTTATGTATATTATACATACCACTACTTATGTGTATTATATATCACACTACGTATGTATATTATCTATACCACTACTTATGTATATTATATATAACACTACTTATGAATATCATAAGTAGTGTTATATATAAAATACATAAGCAGTAGTATATATGATATTCATAAGTAGTGTTATATATAATATACATAAGTAGTGTGATATATAATACACATAAGTAGTGGTATGTATAATATACATAAGGAGTGTTATATATCATACACATAAGTAGTGGTATATATCATATACATAAGTAGTGGTATATATAATATACATAAGTAGTGTTATATATAAAATACATAAGCAGTGTTATATATAATATACATAAGTAGTGGTATATATCATTCACATAAGTAGTGTTATGTATAATATACATAAGTAGTGGTATATATGATATTCATAAGTAGTGTTATATATAAAATACATAAGCAGTGTTATATATAATATTCATAAGTAATGTTATATATAATATACATAAGTAGTGTTATATATAATATACATAAGTAGTGGTTTATATAATATACATAAGTAGTGGTATATATAATATACATAAGTAGTGGTAGATATAATATACATAAGTAGTAGTATATATAATATACATAAGTAGTGGTAGATATAATATACATAAGTAGTGGTTTATATCATATACATAAGTTATGGTATATATAATATATACTAACTCTTAGTTGTTTTGAAATCAACCAGTTCTTCTCTTACTTTGGAAATTGTATAATAAAGGGTTTCCAGACAACTCTCTTTTCAGAGTTTAAGAGGGATAACGGTATTTTTATTCATTTTCGGCATATTATTTATATTGTCAATTTGTATAGGTGCATTCACAGGTATGTATACATCCTCGATATCCAGGGGGAACGCTCACTTTCACGTTCTGCACCCCTGGAATGTGTCAAAGCAAAATTGAAACCGTAACCCCTGGAGTATCGAGGATGGTGTATTACTTGTTTTCATTATTTTCCTATATTGTACGATGTACACATATCATGATATGACAGTTACTACACATTGTACGCATTGGTGTTCAAAAACATTCTAACACATGGTAGGACCTTTAAAATGATACAAACAGCCACAAAAGGCTCATATAGAAGAATTACACGTGCCCACAGTGCCATAATCACATGTATTGACTTGTGTAGGAGATTTCAGCCCGTCCACGATCTGGGACTCGGACCTGTACACACAGCTCCCAGAGAACAAGGACAGGATGGTACCCGTCCACACCCCCGGTGACTTCGTCCACGACATGAACCCTTGCGCCAAACTCATCATCATGCTAAGAAATCCAGTCAACAGGTAACACTGTACCATTTTTATGTAACATACTATATTGTTTTAGTTATGTAATATTTTTGTATTTTGAGGATGTTTTATCTATTTTCGGAGATGAATGATGTATTGTTTATTGTCGGGGAGACAATAGTTTGTTCTCAAGGTCTAAAAAGTCCGGAAGGAAATGTTTTCCTAATCTTGCCTCTGTCTAATATTTGTTTGATATTTGGCAGTTGCGTCATAAAATATTACATCTCCCTCTCATGTTTTCGTCGTCATCTTTTACTTTTTTATCAAATGAATATATAGACGAACCGCTGCGTGATCTAGTTCAACTTTAACCTGCTCTGATTTCACATTCGTATGTAATACGAATATTAAGCAGAATCTACTAACGTGTAGAGCATTCATGTTTTAAAATATCTTTATTTACATTCAAAAATGATAAATAGTACATCATAGGTATTGTGCGAAAGAAAAATGAATGCAGACTAAAGCCAATGGGGGATTTTGATCTTTTCTTCATAGAACAGAGGTACGCCTTCATAACATTCATAGCTTGTACAGCTGATAAGTATGTCATATAGTGTTGTTATATAGCGGAATATTTATTCGTTAATGTTATATATATATTTTTTTAATTAGGGGTATTTGATGTTTTATGACAAAACTGTGGCAGGTGTGTGTTATCATTACCGACTAGATCACCCATGCAGGTCGGGGATCGAGGAAGGTTACACCTGCTGTTCCCCACTGTATGTAGCATAAGAGGCGACTAATGAGGGAACCCCTGCAGAACCAGGGATTAGATTTTGTGCCATCTACTTGTTGACACAAAAGCGACCGAAATAAATCTTCTGCACCTTTCTCAGTTGTTATTCTCTGCTTAACGTTCAGCATTTAGGGTAATGCCAACAACACCGTCACCTGTTGTCAGTATAATGTGACCGGGCGGAATGCTGTACTTGGTGCCTTCGGCATGGCATTTCAGTGAGGTAGCACTATACAGTCGGCATCGGATCCGCGCTATCACACGGAGCCAATTACACCAACAAACCTTGTCTCCAGCACACATACACACATGCACCCATACACAAAAGACATTGAACGGCATTAGCTGTTAATAGGACGTTAAACAAAATAAAACCAAACCAAACCAAACCAACTAGATATAGCGATGTGATCCGTAATCTGTTTATCATTGTTTGGCTTGAAATTGCACTAAGTGACAACAATTTAACCTGTTTTTCAGACTTTACTCAGATTACCTCCATTTCTATAAACACAAGTCACCCCAACAATTTCACGAAATTGTGACAAGCACCATTGATCTCTACAAACGTTGTTTCCGGAAATGGGGAATCAGGCCATGTGTACACCAGTACTACCTAGAGGTGACAGGGAAGGTGAGTACATACATCGTTTTAATGTCAATAGACCTCAGAATCAAGCCATGGGTATACCAGTACTACCTAGAGGCGACAGGGAAGGTGAGGACATACATCGTCTTATTTTCAATAGAAATCAGAATCAGGCCATGTGTACACCAGTACTACCTAAAGGCGACAGGGAAGGTGAGTACATACATCGTCTTAATGTCAATAGACATCAGAATCAAGCCATTCGTACACCAGTACTACCTAGAGGTGACAGGGAAGGCGAGTACATACATCGTCTTAATGTCAATAGACATCAGAATCAAGCCATGTGTAAACCAGTACTACATAGAGGTGACAGGGAAGGCGAGTACATACATCGTCTTAATGTCAATAGACGTCAGAATCAAGCCATGTGTAAACCAGTACTACCTAGAGGTGACAGAGAAGGTGAGTACATACATCGTCTTAATGTCATAGAAATCAGAATCAGGCCATGTGTATACCAATACTACCTAGAGGTGACAGGGAAGGTGAGTACATACATCGTCTTAATGTCATAGAAATCAGAATCAGGCCATGTGTACACCAGTACTACCTAGAGGTGACAGGGAAGGTGAGTTAATACATCATCCTAATGTCTACAGGCAGTAGGCGTTTTTTGTGTGCCTTCTCTTTTCCGTTTCTTTCTTTGTTTATGTTTTAGCTTATACACTAATATTCATCTTTTACAGGCTCGTCTTCGTTTGGGAATTTACTACATATATATTTCTGATTGGTTGGAAAAATTTCCACGTGATCAGTTCCTTTTCATTCGATTGGAAGATTATGCTGTAGACACAAAGCACCACTTACAGAATATCTTCAAATATCTGGACTTACGTAAGTATCCACATATGGCTTTACTAAATTTATAATCAGGCAAAATATTTTTGAAAACAGATTATGTACTACAGGTCTTGATTGTTTTTGTCTATTTCTAATAAAGCAGGATTGGGTTTGGGGTTATAAGAAACACAATACGACAGCTCAACAATTTCAGTAAGCTTCAAAATGAACTCACTGTCTGTCTATATAGGTTCCTCTGTCATTGTAGCCACATTAACGTTGGCAGAAAGTAAAATACAAAATGAATAGATAACAGGTTTTTTTCTTGTTTTCTTTTTCCTGATCAAAACGCTCTCAAAATTGAAAAATTCAAAACACATATCATAAATCTAATATCAAGGGAAACGAATGACAGATTCTCTGTATACCTTCCGAGAAATCGTAAACTTTTTTTATATATAAATCATTTTATTGATCACAGCTCCTATATCTGATGGCCTTCTTAATGAGATGTCATCGGCAGCACCAACAAACACACGTCAAGACCGGAAGGAGGATAGTGACGCGCCCCCTATGTTACCGGAAACCAGACTAACACTGGATCAATTCTATGCACCGTTCAATAAAAAACTAGCAATGCTTTTAAATGATAAACGTTATGAGTGGTAACTTATAAAGTGGAACAATATTGACTTAAGGTAGCAGAAATTGGAGTGGCTTTTATATCAATAAATACATATACCGCACAATATCAAATGTGGTGCCCATTTAAGGAAGTAAAAAGCTACTAGACTTGTCCTTCAGACATTATGACGTAACAATCTATTTGATCCCATTGGTTGGAGCATATGTAGCCTTGTGTTATACTAACCTTTTATGATATTTCTTTTAATAAAATGTGTACAAATATATTTATTGTTGTGTTTTATTTGAAGAAAATACTTGTTATTCCAGAGACAGCATTTTGTTTTAATTAGATTTCATATTGATAACAATATTGATATCAATGGTTTTACCTTGATGTGAAATAAAGCTTACTTGGCACTATTTAGTCGAGTTGTGTTATGGTTTGTGTATAAAGCACTGTCAGTCACGGGTGAACATGTATTTGCAGGTATTTGATTTCAATAAATCACCTATTACTATCTATTTATATTGGCTGTCTCTCCCTATAACACATATTTGTTGTTACCACTTGCCTGTTAAAATATGCCAGATGTAAATCAATACCCTGCGTGTACAAGATTTACCTCATTCTGTATAATCAGTGGGACATTATTTCTCATATAAATTTACTGAAAGAAATTATCCGGAAATCAATCTTACAAAAGCCAACATGAGCATTGTCATGGTTTAGCTTCTAATACGTTATTCCGTGCTCCAACCCACTGCACCACTGCCATAGCTTTTGCTGATAAGTGTAAATCTCTAACACCCCGAAATATATCCACTCATCACCACACCGCTACCTAGAGGTGATCAATCGTATTATCTCCTAAAAAGTACATTTGGACACAACCTTACAAGGAACAAATTGAGGTCGTCATTCCAATACAAATCCCTCAGAAATGAGGTCGCCATTCGTTAGGAAACCATACTACGGGTAACATATGTAGGTCGTGATGCTTGAAGAAACAACAATTCCATACAGTTTAATACAGTTTAATACACGGAACATTATACACTGTACGTCGACGTTCACTAGCAGGTAAATAATACAATAATATAAGGAACACTTAATAATGCAAACGAAACGTAGAGGTCCTAACCAGGGCACAGTAACCACAAGCAGGTCCGAACCCTGAACGTTGTTTTTTTTGATAACCGAGTGATCTACAGTACAAACATTCTATATCGAACTACAATTGGAATTTATGTAGATTTATGTATCTGTGCGAAAACCAAGATAAATCATATTTATTCAAAACATTTTTTTAACACAAACGTCCATTGCGTTATCATTCTGAATAAAATGTACGACCTATGCATTTGTTTGTTTGCATTCCACTACTACAGTGTGGTATCTGTACAGATCGTACTCTGTGCAAAAGATGATTAAGAGAACAACAATGCTGTCTGGGTTTAGTATGTAAACTTATTGTTTTCCGTTCACCGAAAATAAAATATGTAAGAGGATGTGAAACGATATCATATACCATATCATATTTGACTGCTTTCTTAAACGGCAATATTGCTCTCGTTAAATTTCCTTAAAATATTTATTTTCGCTACATAACTTCCTCACGTCACTTAAGTTTTTAAATACAATCCTTTTCGACTATACTTTTCGACTATACTTTTTTAAAAATCTCAGTAAGATCTAAATTAAATTTTTCACCGATAACTAGTTGGAAATATAAAAAAAATACAGTTTTGCATTCACTAACCAATATAATTATGTCTTTTTTATTAAGAGGATTTTAATATTTGTGTTCACTTCTCTTTGTGTTGTATTTCTAACGAAGCAATGTTCCCATATTCGAACACGATACAAACAAATATCTCCACCACATACATTCCATCCCAAGATATTTTTTAAGCAGAGAGCTACCGACTATGATATTTGTTAAGGCTACTTAGGAACATTACTAGGAAACACATCTGGAAAGGAAGACTTTAGCAAACAATTTTCTAGATGTTCCACAAGGATTTTATTTATAAATAATCCATTATGCAAAACCCCAAAGAAATACAACTACATGTCTGCTTCCTTTCCTCGAGATCTAGACACGTATCATGATATATTCCGATGATATGGTACATCGGTACTCTGTTAAATGTCTAGGCATGGCCCAGGGCTGATAATTGTAAAACAAAGAATTTTCACAGAAATGTATGTATGTGTTCAAAAATATCCACTCAGAAACCTCTCCTACTGGAGGAAGAAATGTAACGATTTTACAATAACAAAATGAATTTATTCATCTTTCTTTTTAAAATATAAGGATATTATCCTCAAGGAGACGTTCTTGTAAGAATGTAATATTGTATGTCTAAAAATATTATTTTACCGACTGATACATTTTTCAACTATTTTTACACATCATAATCTAAAACCTTAACCAGTTAACATATCCTAATAGTATCAAACTATAAATTGAAGATGCTAATATGTTTTCATTACAAACGTTCTTTGCTCCTTGCACTTTTTTTGTATGCAATTTTTTTAATTGATAAAAAAAACATTGAGAACATTTCTGAGTTAAATCTGGTTATTTATGTAAACAAGTATGAAAAATACTGGTTAAGGCATTTCTTTCATTTGTCTTGGCTTGCATTGTTATAAATATTTCTTTTCTCTCTACAATGGTTCCAATTGGCATACATTTTGGAGTCGTTGTCTTTGTTTTCGTTGATATGTCATTTAAAAAAAGGACAGTGACAGATGAAAGAATCTGATGATTCTTTGAAACTGTTGAATTCTGACTCTTCCTCATTAATCTCTGTTTTAAAATCAACATTTTCCTCGCTACAAAGCACAGCTGGTAATGAATTTCTCTAGCTATATGGTGTAGAATTGAGTTTTTTTCTTCATTTGTTTTAGTCAAACAATTTTTATTGATCAAACTAACAATGAAATGGAATAAGGTATTCGACATAACGCATGAAATCCTCTACTGAATCTCCAGAAAGATGATATACAATTAAAAAAATTGAGAGAACTTAAATAAAGAGAGATATTTTAAGATCATTTACGTCAGATATACATTATCATAGATAATGACTGATACCGTTTATAAAACTAAGCCTTATTTATGTTTTATCGTTTTCAACTCTTTCAATTACTTACATGTATCATCTTTAATTCCAACATATAAAGGCTGATGAACTAGCCCTTAACCAGTTATATATTTTAAAGAAAGTTACTGCAGAAGGGGAGGCAAATCTTCGAAAAAAGTCTGAAGCTTCATAATGACTACTAGATTGATATCTGAATAGGTGCGTCACCTGCTTTGGATAACACAGGAAATGGAAAAAGCATCTTGGAATAGACGATTCATGGACAGCCTACGGAATCTGGAGTCATTTGGAGGGTCATGTCATTTTGTGGCTAGTGTAAGTCACCACTATTCATTCATTTAAGCGATTATTACACATAACCTACCATAGGTAACATACATCTACTACGCTACTGCTGGTTTTGATATCAGTCACACTGAATTGTAACAATGGTGTTATTACTTTTAGTTTGCTGTCTTTCTACAATTATCAACAAAACCCAGTGACATAATGTCTGTCCAGGTTACACGTTCATATAAAAACATAAGTCAGCTAAGTGAACGCTTTCACTTTCAAATTCTATCTAATTTCAGTTGTAAGTTATATTATATGACCAATTTCCCTTTTTCACACCCAGTAACGTATGTACATAGCTTAGGATGGAAGATAAGCCTAATATGTGCTTTAACAAATGTAAAATTACACGTCATAGAATTGAACGGGTGTTTGATACAGTTTACTCGACACCCTATACTAAAATACTAAAATTTAGTCGACTTAATCACAACGCTTTACACGGAAACAAAAGATCTAAAGAGTATTCCGAGATCAACAAAATGTACATCAGGTGACACAAAAAAATGTAGATTGTGAGTTTCAAAATCTTAAAACGTACATATTCGTTGTTTCCTTTTTTAACAACTTCAAACACTAACGATAGGATTTCCATACTGTCGTATGGCAGGTATCTTTACAAAGGCAACATTATCTACAAATTGAGGCTTACTGAGGAAAACAAATCATACAAAACAAAATTGAAATATGTGAATGAACAAACATTGCTTTATTGTGTTAGGGTTAGGGTTAGGGTTACAAACAATGCTTTATTGTGTTAAGCCATCCAGGATATTTAGAAACACTTTATATCAAAATGTCTGTGAGAAAAGATGTTTGTAAGTGCAAAAAGGAATGTCTAACCAAGTACGGGCACGTTTGGAAGGGAAGGGTGCCAAATGAGGACATTGGTTACGAAACTAACATGTTCTTTCTGAATAAAAACGGGATATAGTTTATATAATATTACATGCATATTGATTCTAACTTGTGTTGTTTTTGAATTTAACAATAACATCCATTGTAACAACATTTTCCATATACTTATTTATACTTTTATAATTATCAACATCAAGCATAACATATCCTGATGTTAGATGTTAACATTTCTAATTAAAGTTATCATAAGCAGGGGGAAAATCGAAAGTTGCTGATGAAATCCATCCCTCTTCCTGTCCCATACAAACGTAATAGCCAGAGCAACATGGCAAAACATCACAAGTTAATCAAATAATCAAATACAAACAAAACATAAATATGTAAGACCAAACACTTGTGTTTTTCTAACGAATCAGAAAGCACGAGTTTATTTCGCGGACGAATTTATATTCACGAGTATATGAATATATACGTCCGCGCAATAAATGAGTGCTTTTTGATTCGTTAGAAAAACACTAGTGTGTGGTCTTGCTTTTATCACATACCTTCCGTATTTGGTAGATATCTTTTTATATTTTTATATTTTTTGCAAATACCGGGATCTTTTCAGTTCGCCATGACAAAGGGGATTCCCATAAAAAGTAGTTCCGGCTAGTAGGTAAACACAACATTCCGTATTGCACATGTGCAATACAGAACGTTGTATTTCATGGTCTGAAAGTTGCTTGTATTACTATAAGAAGATTCAACAGGTATGTGATAAAAAAGATATTGCTCAATGCCAAAATCTGGCGAGGAATTTTATTAATCTACATTGTAGACACAAATTAAGGATAAATAACATTTAAACATGAATTATCAATTAAACTCTTGGTGCATGGAGTTTAGGACACTTTTTCTCCAGACATACTCCTAAACTTTGCATTCTATGTCACGTGATTAAGAATCAGAGCTTTCCTACCTATGCCGAATACAGCATAAAAGTCGTCAACATATCTGGGACAACAAAGGCATGTCGCGACAGTCTCACTACACCTCGTGCTATATGCAGTGGAAATTATTTTAGGCGTTTGAATTAGAGTCTTGCAAGGTAAAGAGCGAAGCGAATATAGTAAGTATAGTGCCACATAAAGGTAAACAAATCTCGTGTTCTTTATATTGATTTTCCCGGATTACTCCTAAGTCTTCCGTATAAAAAAATAACATGTATGGCTCATGTTTTCATGAAAATCCCTCGAATTATTGCTAGTCAAACTCTGTTCATATATCATTGTATACCTATCGCAGTATGGCAGCCCAACAAACCCACTTATTCACATTACCGTTCACCCCTCCTTCTTATCGACATTTTAAGATTAGCGTCGGAGTGAACCTATAGCTTTTGTTCCGAGTTAGTTATCTCGATGTGTGGGATTGTTTTGCCTTGGTTGTATATCCAAAACAAATCAGAAAAAAACCACACTAAATATCAGTAATAAATATAAATCATATTTCCCAGTGTTTTGGAAGAGCAACTGAATTTCTCAGGATTTTTTTTTTATCTCAGTCCGTATGGTATTTCCTGTGAATTTACATAAGATTTGATAAAGTTTGCAGACAACCAACACTGTAAGACCTTATTTTTTAGAAAAAAATGAAACTGCCACCATCACAGATGATATGACAGATCATCCTATCTGCAACGCTTACGCCAATTAATGGTTCACTGAGGGAATACGCCTTATGTATATGAAGAATCGCGGATATGCTGTTGCAAATTGAGTTTTACCGCCGACACGGAACAGTTCCGACGCAAATCTCAAATTAAATTAGGATAAGCCGATTTTTAATAGATATCAGCTCAAACCAACAAAATAAATGAAGATTTAAAGGTATTTTTGTGCGTTTTCTTTAAGATCAAGGTCACTCTGCCATGGAACGGTGACGTGAGGAACATTCAAAATAAGGCCGGCATACAATGACCTTTATAAGTAGCCAGAGTCGTAAGCTATCTTATTATATATATATATATATATATATATATATAAATATTATAAAAGCAGAACAAATCTATATATAGCTATTCCAAGAAAGATGGCACATTTTTTAAAACTTCTCTTTAATATTTGTGTGTGTGTGGTTTTTTTGTTTTGTTTTTGTGGAATATTGGCAGTGCTGTTACTGTTTCTGATATCCCTTCGGTATGGGGAGTTTGAAGATGGCCGCGACCACCCGGTCACCTATCCACTCCGGCAGGTTCCATATGAACCGGAATACGATGTTAGCGTCTAATCCAACTACGTATCTTGCTCGGGGATAAACAGCAATCAGGGCATGCGTGAGTGCGTCCACGACCTTGTATAGATCAGGGCTCAAAACTTGTTGTATATTTTTACTTGACGTGTTCATAACTGGAAGTAGAGAATTAAGTGTTAAGATACAGATGTTGATACACGATACATATTTATAAATAATGCAAGCTCACAATATCACATAATATATACAAATACTCTCCTATTTCACTGCAAAACCAAGTAGTGAGACTATCATACAGTTAGATGGTACATGTAACACTACTGCCGTTTGGTTCCAAGTTCTTTAGGATCTGACGAAATGGACGTTATGTAGGTTTGTAAACCTTAACTGCTCTATGCAAATGTAAATATGTATAATGTTTAAGTCTGTCAGTAGTGACAAAGCGTGCCAGGTCACCACTTTATGGTTACCTTTAAATAAGTATGTGCACGATGCAGTATGAATCTACTTACAAATAGATAGTGATGCGAATGATAAATCTACCACAAGCAAATATTCATGGAAGGCAACGATTACAAACGATCTTACTCCGTCCCCATATTATTTTATAGTTCGAGGCAATGCAGCAGAGCACCAGTACAACCATTGTCTTCTCTTGTTGTCTGTATGTGACATATCCAGTCATAACCACAATGTATAATATACACTAGTCTATGTTGATCTAAAGGTTTAAAATATGAACTACCATTTATATTCCGGAGTACTATACATAGACCGTACTTCGTACAACATTTTATCAACTTATAAACAGTTGTGTAGGAATAAATAAGTCTGCCTGCAAACAATGGTGTATTTATATGCTAGTGTTTTGTGGATTTAGTTTGACTGTAATGGACTGACTGAAGTAATGATTAAAATACTTAGTGTTGAACACGTACCTTCAGAAATATAGTTTTCTCCATAAAATTCCTTTCGCTCTGTGTCCATTTCGTCGAATGACATCTTCATATTCCTTTCGAAGCTGTCCAAGTTGACTATATTGGTATTGAAGAAGCCTGGTTCGATGATGTGGACGGAAACCCCACAGTTGTACAGCTGGTACCTAAACCGAGACAGGGAGAGACAAGAAGAGATTCCATTTTATTACCTTAATTGTCATATAAACAAGTCATTCAAGGACGTAAGGACGAAAATATATGCTTCATTACATTTCTACCGAGGAAGGGGTCAGAATATTTATTTTTCTTTTGCGACAGTCAACATTCTTGTTATAGGAACAATAAACAAAACCATTGGAATAAAAGTGAAAGATGACCCCCGTATTGCATTGTCAAGTGTTACATGACAGTAACGTTTCCTTATTGTGTCGTCGCAATACAGCATTCTTTATACTAATCTACTGCAGCGGAAAATGAACCATAATTATGTTCACATTCATCCGTGTTGTTGTTGTTTTTCATAAAGAGAAACGTATAAAACAGAATATTCAGATCATTTTAATTGTTGAATAACAATTATATAATCATGTCATGGATTGAATTTTTTTATTTTTACGATCGTGGACTTTAATGAAATATTATTGTTTTGCGTAAAAAACCCAATCCAAACCAAAACAAAAACAAACAGCAAAAAATAATCAACACTTCTGTAAACTGGTCATATAATAATCGTTAACAAATCTGAGCATAGCTCACGTGATTATCGTAAACATATTTAAACGAGTCACGTGCTAATCGTTAATACATCTCTATACCGGTCTTGCGGGTCTTGTAATAATCGCTGTTATCATATGTATCTACTTTATACCACCTACCGGTAGCATGATCAATTTATTATCACGGGTTGTCCGTATGAGAATACTCAAAATGGAGGTGAGAACGACTTAAAAAATCTTGAGAACAGATTTTCCCATTTCCAAGTATTTGGGAACGTATTTACTTTAAAAGGAACGTCTGCTCGCGCCAGGTGACGTCCTTTACCGGAAGTGATATCCACAAAAAAGTGATCCGCGTATAAAATACGCATAAACAAATCAATATGAAAATACGGGAAAATATTGTGAGGAAAATAGCACCATTTCAAGCGTAAATGTGCATATGAAAAAGCCAATGACGGTAGGATTGCTGTAAATCTGTTTTTCTACATAGTTTTACGGTTCGTTGTATTCATCCGCACAAATTTTCTATTTGTGTACCTTAGTCACAGATCGAGGATTTGCGATCGATGACCAAAGATCGAGCTTAGAAGTCATTTGGAAAACATGGTGTTTAGTTGACTTTTTTTGAATGGGGAAATACATAAGGTAGTCGTATGAAGATGATAAACAGTTTATCACACAGTATATTTTCAGTGTTTGTCGTTCGAACTATTTTCTCATCTCTCGCATGTGGATAATAAAATCGAGAGGCCACCGCAAATGTATCTGTTTTTCTGTTATATGATATTCGTAAACAAATCTAAACACGAGTCAGATGATAATCTTATAACCGTATACATATATATGTACTCACATGTGACAATCAACAAAAACATCCGTATCTTCGTCATGTGATAATCGATAATCGTTAGATGGGCCACGTGTCTTAACAACAAAAGTAGACTCGATGATCACGAACCATATTCGGCGTAAAATTTAAGGGCTGTTCTATCGACGTATTTCTTGCTTTTCAGGTCGCGTGACCAGTCCAGCGGGTTAGTATCCTGGGACTCTATAACTCATATAAGTTACATCCCGATATAGCTATACAGGTACAAACGTATTACACCATTCACAATAAATGTCCTTGCCATCTCGCATGAATCTTGCACAATCCATCTATATAGATCAATCACAAGTTGAATATTCTCTATACTGTACACAACAAATACCAAAACTATTATCAGTAGTGTTCTAATGTCCGACTCTCAATAGTTCAGGACGAGAAGATAAGGCAAAACAAAGAATGGAGCATTTTACTCTTTTGTGGTTTTAAAACATTTGAGACATTTTTCATTATTCTTTTGAATGTGATAGTCACTGGTGAATCCTAACAGGACGAAATGACCACCTGGTTCAGTACATATCAACTTTGGACTATGATTGGTTGGCTTTGTCCATTGACTTTATCTTTGATGGGTTTACCTAGCAGCCGTATTACTGATAAGCATTTCGAACATAACTTTTGCAAAATAAGCAAACGAACATGTAAGTATTATAATTACCTTAGGCAATCAGAGAAGCCCTCTGCGCCGTACTTAGACACCACATATGGCGCTGCAAGTGCTGCAAGCCTTCCTGCGACGCTCGTGATGTTAACAATGCGACCTTTGGCCTTTCTCACCAATGGCAGAAACACAGTGGTGACGTTGATCATCCCGAACAGATTGACGTCATTGCATTTCCGGTAGTTGTCAACGGTCTGCCATTCCACATGTGATGCGTTACCGGCAATACCGGCATTGTTGACGACACCCCAAAGTCCTGTCGATGATATCAGCATTAGTGAAAATACTATTGTAGCATTAACCATTGATAAATTGATGAGTATATTGACCTCAAACGATATACATCAGCCTCATATTCTACATAATATCCGCGGTCTATTTCAACCCTACACATCGTTCTGAATTGCAGTCAAAGCGTTGCAGGTCGAGTAATCATTGGAATCTGTTGTCAATAGTTATTCAAATGAACAGTTTATTATTAAGTGAACAGTTAAGTTGCAATGACAATTTACTAGTAGTAAACAGCTGCTCACAGCAAACTGGTATATTGCAGGGAACAATCAACAGCAGTTCAATCGCACATTTTAGGTTTGTACTGCTTCAATATCATTGACATAATATATCTGCAGAATGAACACACTTACCTTTTCCTTTCGGAAGTCTTTTTCTGACTTCGTCATATGCTTTCATTATGCTGTTCTCATTTGTTACGTCAAGCACTAAGGTTACAAGACGTTCAGATGTCGCCTTGTCTAGGTTATGTTGTCCCTTGGATGTCAGACAGCCAGCGAATACATTCATACCTAGAGAGTCAAGTCTCTTGGCGAGCAGATTACCGAATCCAGTGTCACATCCGGTTATAAACACATACCGACCTGATAACTCGCCGAGTTTAAGACTCCGTATGAACCATCTACCGACGAGGAACAAGGCAGACAGTAACACACACAGGGAGAGGAGGCTCAACATCCTTACACGTCGGGAACAATAAGCAAGCTGTTCAAAGAAAAGAAAAATTGATATTAGTAGGAATCCTGACTAGCGAAAGATAATACAAGGTCGGACATTCAATTCAGGAAATGAATTCAACAAAAACAGACAATCATGTCTCAATACAAATAAACAGATAATTTGGTCTCAATTACAATAACACTGCATCTATTCCATTATATATATGGAAAGGCCGACAGGGTAAGAGGAAAATAACAAAGTACTCGTTTGGGGTGACTTAGGGAATCTTGACCCTCAGGGAAAGATTCATCAGTCGGTCAAACCTTGTGTTTTCGCATTTTCAGAATCTTTCCCTCGGGTTGGGAAACCCCTATCACAACCCGAAAAGTATGAAAAATTTAACCTAACATAAAAAACACAATGATAAACAATGTTAAAAAATTGTTACATAAATATTCGTTACTACACACGTCAAATAAATTCATCAGCTAACCTTAGCCGCCTCCATGTTAGTGTTGTTCATACGTGTGGGAACGAACAGTTTCTTTTTACTAAAAAGCTAAGAAACAGCGACTTGGTTCAAGAGTTCATAATAACCAAAATATTCCTCAGCAAAGCACTCGTCACCGTAATTTCTAGTAAGTAATAAATCAAATCTGTTTAGATTGCGCCAAACACCATAAACTATTGAACATCTTCCAAAATATAAGTATGAAACAGAACATGCATATAACAACGTTCCAAAATACTGCCAACAAACGTAGTATTCAGGGTAGTAGTGTGATGGAACATTCACTGTCGCTTCCATCTCATTAGAACATGGATAGACCCGAAGTGTTTCAAAATTTGCTGTCAGTTGATTGGGTATGACACCGATTGAGAGTGAACTACGAGTCCCCGTTTTCACGCCAAGTGACGTCATACGAGGGTCATTCAATAAAGTATGTCACTAGTGTCAGGATTCACATATTAATGCATAGACATTAGTTTGACCTTTCTGTAACAAACCTTCGCAGTATCCCCTTATCAGTAATGCATTTTCGTATTCGCACTCTCCATGACGTAAACGCTGCACGGTAGTCTCCCCTTGGTATACTAGGGAGACACTTGAAGACTGCACTACCCAAAACACTCTTAGAGCGATACCTTTCCCCGTTGCTTTTGTGTGATGAAACATTGTCATGGGTTAGCTGGATGTCAATCAACGGTTTACTTGGACGCTTTTTCATGTATAATTTTTGACAGGCCTCAATAGTTTACAATCGTTTGTTATTTATGCGCCTCTGGAGTTCACAGTACGTAATAGACCGAAGTCTCATCCCCTGTAAGATACTCAGATTGCTTGATTTAGGTACAATAACCGTACTTTTTTAAAATACATATTTTTATCACATATCAAACGTTTGGCCTTTTGTTCAGATGTCATAAAATGGAGAATCATTCGGACACAATGCTGCTTTAATTTCAAGTACTTAGTCAGAATGTGATGTGTACTGCCAACCAGATGAGCTCAGAACAGTATATTGACCATCATCCTAAATTATTGCTTTCACAGCAGCAATGCTTGTCTTTGATACTGCAACTACTGGCCTGCCTGTCCTTGTGTCCTTTTGATGTCAACTTTTACGTTCTTTGTTTTGTTCACCCACCTGAAAACAGTTCTCAATGTGACGGCAGAGGTGCCTTTTATACTGCACAACCATGCGTGTATATGTTTTGGCGGTATCTGTAAAGCACGCCCTACCTTGATATAGAAGCGGGTTTTTTCAGCCAACATTTTAGCATTGAAAAGTATTCACTAGTAGCAGGGGCATACCATTCAAAAATGAACGACTTCTCCAATTCTTGTAAGATGATGTTGCTATTTTGTTCTTTAAAGTCTGTCAGGGTGCTAAACTATGTAATTGCCCGTTCGTACGGAGCTGTGTGGTGACGGCATTTCTTGAATCACCTTCGTATACAAACAGTCGCTAAGGCACTAAGGCATGAAAAATGAAATAAGCTAGACCTTACAATAAGCAAAGTAGCACTCCAGATACATATGGGTAGCTGTGGACTATGAGTTTGAGTACGGAGTTATGGGTATTAAGTATGTACTCTTCTGAGGTTTCAATAACGTTCAATTCTCGTTTTTATCTTTTGTAATATTTGAAAAGTTATGATTAATTTAAATAGCAAACACGCAGCTGAAAAAAATACAAATTTTGCGGCCATTTGAAAATGTGTATTTCTTGCGCTTCACGAAGCCAAAAATTCACCTTTTNGAAATTATATGCAAGAAAGTGAAAATTATACATGAAAGGTATTTTTGAACATTTGAAGTATAACTGTANCTTTTTAAAAATGTTGATAAAAATTATATGTAAGAAAGTGGAAATTATACATGATAGGTATTTTTGAACATGTGAAGTATAACTGTAGCACTTTGAGTTTGATTTATTAATATTACAAAAAAATGTTTAATAGCAGAACTCTTATATCAAACATTCAATCTGTTAAAATTGTTCAAAATTAGTATTTTTTCATGAAAAGATAAGAGGTAACGTTCATCGCTTTTCTGAGATAGGAAATTTAGATTAAGAAATTTGACTTTGATAACTCAAAAGAAAAGACTATTTTATCAATTCTTCAAACATTCATATATATCTAACAACTATTATGCCAGATATTGTAGCGAAAAAACGAACACCCGAACATACAAAAATGCACAAAAGAAAAAAGTTTAATACAGAAAATGTTTGACTTCTCAGAGGTGTACATTTAACACGTGAACGTTTTAGTGGAAGTAGTTTGAGCGTTTTGTCGGCCACTATCGGCTATCGTAGAGGGGGTCAATGAACGCAAGCTTTATGTGTGTCAGTACAGATACTTTATATGATCGACGCTTGTGAATATTGACTGAAAGTACAGACACTAATCTACAGGGAAATACTCCAAAAATTCACCCAGGCCTGAATCTTGTATATAACTCACACACGTTAATGCTGTAAAATATACCTGTGCATATTTGCATCTATCTTAAAATAGAAAATCACAGAGCCGTCATACTATACCTGCCTTCGTGCCTGTACTCCTGGTGACACAGTAGTGTTCAGATAAACATGGGTATCTACGATGGCCGATATCAGCCGTCAGAACTCCTGGTGACCCAGTAGTGTTCAGATAAGCACGGGTATCTACGATGGCCGATATCAGCCGTCAGAACTCCTGGTGACCCAGTAGTGTTCAGATAA